ATGTATTGATTATACTTGTAGTGTTCTTTCTAAAAGGGCTTAGCTAAGGCTGAGTCATGACTATATACTTTTGATATGCTTCCTCATAGTGTCAGTGTTCTGTCCTGAGTCATATTGCATGTGAAACACGTCATTCTACAACTGTGGCTGGTGTTTATGACAATCCTTGCTGGTCACAGCTTTAGCCTCCAGGGGGGAAGAGGGATATACTGGAATTATGTAGAACTGTGGTGGGCCACGCAGTGAAGGAGTGGATATTGCTCAGTGGTTTGATTGCTGTTGGTAACTGATAGTTTTCTACAGTGTATGAAGGTTATATGTTATCCACTAATTCATTTAAATTGTTGTTCCTACACGTGGCTCTGCTTTGGAAAAACTAGGGTTCAAACCCCCGGATCTGTAGCTCTTCTTTCTTCACTTATTATGGTAATTATGCTCTTTTACCTCCCCCACCCACACACCACTACTTTGGATTTTAGTGCCAGCTTCTACTTTGATGCATTACTGGCATCTCCAGAGTCATGTGTCATCTCTGAAGAAGCCCTTGGAAACATGAGGGGGAAAAAAGAGAAAATACAGACAGTGGGTGGTGTCCCTGCAGATTACCTGACCTCTTCTTTTGGTCTATTCAAAATGGATTTGTAATATTCCTTCATAAGTATTTTACTTAACCTCCTGGGGTAACAGTTTTCTCACTAGCAGAAATACTGGTGTGTAAGGACAACCCAAAGTTTGTCTCCTCTTCCAGGAGGCAAAAATACCATTATTGATGCTCATAAAGGTCAAGAGGAACTTATTGATTGGACTGTAATATTTAGTGGCCCAAACTCCCTTCCTCATCTCTTTCTCACACACACACACGCACACACACACACACACACCCTCTAGAGTTCACAGTTTCTCCCACATCTCACTCAGCACAGCATAAACTAGATGGGATTTCTGCTGTAAAGGCATCAAGGCCTACCGTAGACCATACATTATCCAAATGTAAGACATCATAATGGATGCTGGCGCAGACTCAAAAAAACAATTGCTTATATACAAAGAAAAAATGTTGTGGAAGCAATTATGTGGTGAAGCATGATATCTTTATCTGGACCTGAGAGCTTTACAATCTTATTAAGACTCCATCTGCAATTGTGTCTGAATGTTTGCAGCCTCGACTGTTCTATTCATGATTTTGACAAAACTGCAAATGGATGATCATAACAGCAGCCTCTAAGTTGACTTGATTTCGTTAAAACAGTTAGTGTTATACAGCATGGTCAATAATATATATTTAGTATTATGTCATAGCAGCGGTGAAAGAAAACATCACCATTTTGTCTCAGTTGAACGGTTGATGGCACCTACTGTATTGTAAGGTTATTAGTTTAACTCAATGATATCTAATAAGTGCAATTAGCAGAACTTTAAATCTTTCCATTTGGAAACTGTCGCTCATGTAGTCATTATTTTTCATTCATTATTCATTATTTTTTGTCTGTTTTGTAAGAACGGAGACTTTAACACATCGGAATTAAACTGAAAGTTGATGAAAATCTAAATCTAAATACACACACACATGTATATATACAAGTAGTACTACATAGTAAATACCAAATAAATTGCATTTTACAATAAAGACAACTTTCTGTAAAGCATATAAACACAGGGGGGAAAAGATGTAGCACATAACCTTGACACTGACAAAGAGACGTGTGTCTCTGAAGGACAGTTGTCCCCGGCCTTTCTTTTCTAGAGTGATATATTTAAGGACATCCTTTACTCCAGCAACAGAGATACATTTTTTATTTGTAATACTTTAGAATTACTATACAGTGTCAGTGCAAAAAGGACAGCAACCTTAGACCTAGGTTAATGATACTGACTACTGCAGTTGGTTGACTGTGACACTGAATGATAGATGTGGCTGTTTGTCCCTCAGACAGCAGCCTGTTCTTTGCATTTGTAAGTCTAATTTTCAAACAGCGGGGTTGTTTTGCCTTGTTATTAGTCCGATCATGACCAATCGATGTAACACCGCCTGTTTCCTATTTCAGGTAACGCTTTCTGAACTTGTCCTGTTGAGCTGATGATTTTCTTCTTCTTCTGTCACATTTGCCCCCAGAGTTCCCCCCACTTACGCTCTGTTTCACTCTTACATGCTCTGTACCTGCCTCATAATAATACAATCCCGGGGCTGTGTTTCAGCCGGGACTTGACAGAATTACAAATTGAGGTGGGTTAGTCAGATTGTTTACCATTCCAGAAGGCATCTTTCCTTTTAGTCGACCAGCTTCTAAGTTAGTTAGGCAGGAAAATGTAGATTTGAATAATAGTCCTGTGACGACTGATCATCAACATGAAAGCTAGTTGACTCTTTAGTTGCTAAAGAATACGCGACACCGACTAATCATCCTTGGATAGCAGTGACTCATCAAATGGGTCCTTATGAGTTGTCTTTGCACAGAAGCAAAATGATTACATGCTTGTGATTTCATTTACATAACTTGCAGTATTGAAAAATATATATTATATGAAAATTTCCAGGCCAAAATACCTGGGTTCTGTAAGGAATAGCTCTGCAGGAGCAGATGCCCCAAATAAGCCACTGAACTCATCAATGATTCAAAAAACGTTTTTTGCAGATCTACAGTGACATGCAGGAGGTGCACATTGTCCCCAACAAGATAAAGAATTTATTATTAATGCGATAGATATTTACCTGTTATCATCAGGGAGAAGACGCAGGAACCACTGCCCTCCCATACACACCAATCTTATAAATCCTCAGTTTGTGTGTGTGTACATTCTGCATTACTGACTATGATAATGTCTGACCCTCAGCCTATGATTGCAACAATGTACTTTCTGCTTCTACATGTCATTTTTCATGGTAGGATTGAGACCCAACGTAAACAGTTATTGGATTCAAACCAGCAACCCTCCAACTGTCTAACCACAACGCCAGAGGCTGTCTTTAGCTTTTACTGTAATATTTATATGTAATATATATAATTATAAAGTTTGTTAAAAGTCAGGCTGGACACTGAACAAGATTCACGGACTATGAACCTACCGATGCACCAGTTAGCTCTTTATAACTGACAAAATGAGGGGAAAAAACATCTAAATTTACGGAGGAGCCTGGTGTGTAAACATCTCTGCTCCATGTTGTGAAGTCAAGATAACACTCATCATTGTGCCAGACCTATTTCTGGATTGTTAATCAAGGTAACATGCACAGGCTCACACACACAGCACGACATTCTGTAAGGTGTGACTAGAGTGAGACGGCTTCATTTCAGCTCAGCCACCATCACTACCTGGTGTTATAGTGTTTTGTTTGAGCTGCTGGTTTGTGCTAATTTAGTCTTTTCTCTCTTGTGGACCATTTATCATTACAACTACAATCTTGATCTTACACGGTAAAAACCTCATTTCAAGACATTACTTAAAGTGAGATGATAAAAAAAAAAATCACATATCACGATACAAGGGTAATGATATGATATATTGCGATATTAGAGGATGACGATATAAAGTTTTTTATTGTATTTAATTGTAGGAAAAATATTAGTATAATAAACACACAATGTTGTTACATGCTTAACATCAGGTTACTAAGATTGGACCAGATGGACCTACATTTGTAAAAGGAAAAAAAGGCAAAATAAAATAAACCAAAGCCATGAATATTTGCACGGTAATTCTTGATAGAAATTGATACAGTGCTGTAAAATATTGATAAGATATTGTGAAACAAAATATTGCGATGTGAGTTTAGCTTTTGTGTTCCACTGTATTAACTCAGCTACACAGCTGATGATAAATATACTTAGAAAGGAAAAAAAGAACCTCTTATATTGCCTTATTGGAATATAACTTTATAAATCTGGACATGTAATTTACTTTACGAAGCCACTGCGTGTATGAGAGAAGTCAAAAATATCTGGGACAAATAAAAATAAAAGAAAAAGTCTTTGTTTATGAAAATAACAGCAGTATTTCTCTACATACGCTCCGTTTAGGTCTAGATACGTCTGCAGGCTTTGTTTCCATTGGGGAATTTATTTTTGCAGAATTCCAGGGGAAGTCTTTCTCACCAGCTTCTTTGTCTTGTTCGATGAATGGAGTCTCTTTAAAATGTCCTTTTGGAATATTTTGCTAAGTTTTAACTCAAGATCAGTGTAAAAGATATTAATGTTTGTTTAAGGTTTGAAGGCGCTTCATGGAGAGGTAATCGCAACTGTTCAAAATATGGATCTGTCTTAGAACTTTATGACTCACCCTTGTAGATTATAAATGCATCTGCATTCAAACTTCAGTTACAGGTCAGGAAGGTGTTTTTAATCCACAGTCTAAAGTAACATACACTCATCTAACAGATTAGACTCTGAGCAGCGTTTCTCACACCGTGGAGCCGTCCTATCTTCAGAGCCTGTGTAATTAGTCATGTGGGTCACTGTGATTCGCCTCATGTCTGGCACCAGCCAAAAGTACGCAGCATGAGAAGACTCATACTGCTAGCTGTCAATGAAGCACAGGGCTGGATTTTACTTTATCGCAGCTTGTCAAAACAGCAGAACCTGATAATGGCCGTGCAACAGCGGTTGCGGGTGTGGATTGGTTTTCACAGTTACTGAACATGACACCGAGAGCTGATAATGGGCTGTTGTTGAGAGGGGCAGCGCAGCAGTACTTCTATCTTCCCTTCGTTGTCTTTAGCTATGTCCATATTTCACTTGTTATCATACTATAATGGTATTCAGCAGTGTCAGTCATGAAGGTTACATATTGACTCTACATGTCTTTTCTCTAAAAGTCCTTGTACATTTTTTTATGGTGGAATATATTACCTATGAAATAATTTTTTTTTAAAAATAATACATTTTATCCAAAGTGACTTATAAGATGAGGATAAACAATCAGGTCACATAAAGGAACTCTTGAAAGGAGACCAGTAAGTTAGGAAACAGGTCCTGAAAGAGATACAGGAGGGTAGGAGAGGACAGGAGGTGCTCTCTAAAGAGCTGAGTCTTCAAGAGGTTCTTGAAGACAGGCAGACTGTTCTGGTAGTGCTTGGTAGGTCATTCCACCAGTGTGGAAGGACCCATGAAAAGAGCTGATGTTGACTGCACTGAATGTTAATGTTTGCCTTTCAAGTCAAAAAGAGGAGTTGCAGATGAAAGAGTTTTAATCCTTTCGGAATAAATATGTACTTTTTCTTTTCTAACTTCCATTTTACCAGAATGTTTGAACTCAGGATGTGATTATGTCTAGGAGATAAAGGGTATGATTAAACAACAGGCTTAATGCAGCTTTGAAACTCTTTATCCTAACTTTAAGAAGAAGAAGAAGTTGTGGATTTCAATGGATTATAAAGTGGACGGAAATTTGATCAAAACTGAATTTGAGGCTGAAAACAATAGTCACCAACCAGTTTTGTGTAAAAGCCCATGCTGCAGATATGTGATCGATCCATAGCTGCCAATATATTGTATTATCTCATTGCTGCCAATGTGAAGATATTCTCTCTGTGTGTGTCTCAGTACACAGTCTGAATAGCAATCAGGTTCCCTTTCCTTACATAATGCATGAGACGTGGGACTCCTTCAGTCGATTGGTGTATGATTTTTATATGTTTGGTGTGTGTGTGAGAAGGGGTCAAAGTAAGTTGACCAAAGCTATAGCAGGACCAAAGAAAAAACCAACAGGTGCACCAACACGTGTGTGTGCATGCAGCCCTCATGAGGAAAATTAAGTGGGCCAAATGACGTGGAAGCAGAACTGCTGAGTTTTTTCCAACCTCCCATCTCAGCTGACAGCTCGAGCCTCCATCAACTTCCTCCAACGTTCCAGTGGAATTCAGAAGCAACCTAATAATTTTCATTCTGCTCTGCCCTATCTTTCCTTCCCCATCAGCCCCCCCACACCCCACTGTCTAAATTGCCATTCCACTCTACTCCTCTCCAGGGACACAAAAGGGCCTGCAGATGTTCCGATCGACTCTAATAAATTGTATGTAGTCAGTTAAGCAGAGCGACTGCCTACTGGCAAAGCTGCAAACCTTTGAGGAAAAAAAAAGGGTCCCTCTAAATTTGATTCACCTTGAGCAGAGAAGTGTCTTGAAAGCGATGTCTAAGACAGAGTAAATAATGTGTGTATGGGAGAAGTGGGGAGGAAAGAGAGAGACAACAGAAGACAATAAGAAAGACAGAGCTGGGCTGTCGTGATCAGTGAGGTCACCCAAAGTACAGGCAAACAAGCAGGGTTCAGTTTTTACACCATTTGTGATCCAACTCGGCTCAAAGTGAGGATCATGAAGGACCGTGTACTGGAAGCTCCTGTCAGAGTCATGTCCTTGCTTAAATTTAGTTCAAACACCAGCGGCAGTTGCTGGTACGTAAGAGAGGGAAAGATTATTTCAGGCCCAGCTTTTGAAGTTTAAATTCCACTTCATGTTTCTTTTGCAGTGCTTCAGAAAAGCCCGATCTCCCACGGTTTTTGAAATGTAACAGTTTTTGAGAAAAATGTCAAACTCACGATGGAATAGTACATTATCACAAACTCTCTCAGTTACATACTCATGAAATACCCACATAAACGAAGGTACAGTCAGAGTCAATTCAAGAATGAGTTGTCAAATAAAGCGTGGTCAGATGGCAATATTGATATCATAATCTGTGCCTCCATAGATAAAATCACACCAGAAAGAAAAGAAATAATCTGGGATAAAAGCTAATTCTGAATGAACTAGTTTCATAACTGATGGACTTTATCTGATGATGAACTGTAGAATAGACAGTTTAGATTTGACAGCTTATTTTAGAAAAGGCAGATCTCCCCTTGTTGCCCTTATAGTGCCCAGTAGATTTGTTGGTCTGTTGGGTAAGGTATGTCCTTGTACCAGTTCAAATTTACATGAATGCACCTGCCATAGAGTGTTGTTTGAGGATTGTGGTAAAGTCTGTTCAGACATATGTTCTCCCTCTAAACTGTTATGTGACAATCCATATGCCATACAAGAAGAAAAAACAAAAACAACAATGTCATTTATTTTGGAGGAAATGGGCCAAACCAAACCCCTGCAGCAGCCCCTCGTATGCAGATTTAATACACACAGCGCGCAAGCTGTTCCAGATCCAGAGCTGTATCCCGGAGACTGCGCACATCTCTCCAGAGACCAGGGACTATACTGTATGTCACTCAGCTCAGTAAGGATTGGCATGTTTATTATTAGGTCTCTTTGCAAATTCTGCGCTCTATGCAGGATTGCTCATGTCCTGTCCCCAGCGGCTTAAGGCCCAAGCGAGAGAGAAAATTCAAAGCACACTTGTTGTTGCAGCGCTCCCCAGAGGTAGGAAAGCAGGTGGATGATAGAGTGCAGTACAGACGTATGACCTGGGCAGTGATTAGATCACATTTCTAGGGCATTTTGAGGAGAAGCGGATGAGGCAGTGGCTGAGGATCCAGAGACTGGAAGCATTAGGATTCAGTCCAGGACTGCAGCCACAGAGCAACAGAAATAATTTAAGGTCACAAATACAGCCCTCCCATTCACTACCTCATAGTCGAGTCAGTGAGTTGCTGTGTGTATTTGGATTAGCAGAATAGTTGTAATTCATGAAGAGAAAAAGAAAGACCAGATAAAAAAAAGAGCCATGAAAGAAGAGGGCAATGAAAAAGAAAAAAAAGGTCAGAGAGTGAGAGAGGTTATAGCTGTGTTTAAATCAGTGACTGGAAATGAAGAGTAGTGAGAATAATTGCAATTTGCATCACTATACTTTGAAGAGTTATATAGTATGAAACTGAAAGAGATCTCTGGTTGCATTTCTCTGTTTATATTTTACATCTTATTAAAGTTGGTTGCACAGTGTGCAGTGGGAGTAAAGCAGCCAGAGCAGAACAGAGGGCGACGAGAAACGGCTAAGTCCTGCTCTGCTTCAATGGTCATCGGTTTGTTATTCAGAAATTGGCAATTTACCCCGAAACTCTTGTACAAGTTGTTGTTTTTTGTTTAAATACCATCTCAACACCCGCTGTACGACTGTGGAGGCTTCAACCTCAGGACAGGAAGTCAGTCTGCGGCTGACTGACAATTGACGAGTTTTAAGGACCTCTATGGATCTGACCAACTCTATGAAGTAAAATTTTGAGTTTTACTTTTGTATATTTTTGTTTAACTATTTACTCACTATTACTATTAATTATTTAAACACTTGGATTAGTCACACATAGGAATGTTGATTTATCTCGATTAACACTGATTAATCTAGTTAATCAGATTAAACATTTCGGTTGTCTGACTGTTTAAACATGAATTAGCGTCATATGCTTTGTTCTCGGAATGCGGAACGACTTTTGCTTCTCACACACAGTGTGAAATTTTGAAAGGATAGAAGAAAAGAGCTGCCGGAGAACCTCTCAGGTCAAGTGTCCAGCAGTTCAGCTGAGTCAGCAGAGTCAGCAGAGTCAGGAGAAAGGATCACCACATTCTCCACTGGCAGTAAAACACACCTTGCTGGGCCTCTGATGGTGATGAGGCAGGGTTACGTGTGGGGTCGGAGCTCACACAGAGGTCAGTGTGTTCTTTTCAATGCAAGAGCATTCTGAGGGCTGGAGCCAATGCAGTAGCCATGGAGCAAAGGCAGGGGGCTCCCTAGACAGTTCACCAGACTATAGAAAAGCCACATGTACAGTAGAGACAGTTAATTTGTCCACATCACACCTCTCCAACAGTGTTATGTATCGACTAACACTTATTCTGACTGTTGTGATGACAGCCTGCAACCACTGAGCTTTTATGATTAAACTGTTGACGACAGAATAAATGTAGATTCTGTTCAGTATCTTTGTATCTGTTTTTATAAGAATTAAAGAACAACTTCGATCAGGATTCTCACATCTTCTCATCAGGTCTTGAATAAAACGCAGAGACTGTCCTGGGAGGTGTGTGTGTGTGGCAGCATGGTTGAAGGCTTTAACAAATGTTGTCCATTATAATTGCTGCAGGGATTCCAGTAATGAAATAAACATAACGTTAATTAATTTTGCAAACAGCACTGTGACACGGAGGAAGGAAAATGCATTCTGCAGAGAAGCCGTATGAACAATATATGATAAGAGTGGAAACAGTGATGTATATAAAGTGTCGTTTGCAGAAATCTGTATGAATATCGTGTTATTTAACAATATGTTCTGGCTTCTCTCCATTATTGTATGTGGCAACAGGACAAACACAGAGTTCCATAATTATATTTAAATTTTCTGAAAATAAATATTTGTTTCCCTTAAAGAATCCAGCACTAAGATGAAACAATATTAACATTTTGCTCATGTGTGGCCTCTGGTTCACTATAAATAGCTTTAAAAAGTCAATTATGAGTTGATAATCTTTCAAAGACATTTACCGAGTTTTTACCAACATCACGTCGTGATGATCCCTGATGAAGGGAAAATAGTCCAATAAAAAAAAAATTAAAATCTATTTCCAGTCCAATTATGGTGCATGGGTTTAGAATTGCCACTCTGCTATTTATGACTTTAAAACGGCTCACCCGTTTACTCTCCTGCTTGTCAGCACTGCAAGCAATTAATGATATAAACAACAGCAATAACAACATGACAAAATCTATTTAGGTCAAACACAGATTTCAGTGAAAAAACCCATAATGCTGTGAGAAGTGAGATCTGTGGCCAACAGAAAAATGCAAAATGTATGTTCAGACTTTCTGCCAGGATGTGGACGTGCCACTCATGACAAAAAATAAATTCCTAAGACAGGAATGTCATCTCACTTTATTTTTTCACTTCATTTATTTTCATAAATAATGGGTCTAATTTGAGCTGCTGGCTTTAACAATGTCCTGGAGTTACTCCCATGGAATTTTACTGCCAATTTTCCAAATCTTTTTGATTATAAAAAATTACACAAATTATTTTAGATTTACTTTCTTAAAGCAATGATTCTTTTTTTTCAACACTAAACCAATTCTGAGCCTGAATTAAAACACAACTGATGGCTGCATGAAAACTGAATTTTTTTTTACTGAATTTGTTTAGTCTCAGACCTTTGCCACTAACTGTGGCAATTAGTCACACACTTACAAAGCTATCAGACGTTATAATGTGCAGTTAAATGACAATTTAACATGATGTTTGGGAGAAGCGAATCCACTAAAGAAAAATACATTTCTGGCTTTGCTTTGCTGCCCCCGCGACCCGGTAACGGATAAGTGGATGAACATGGATGGATGGATTTTGTCATATAATTTCTTTACCATCTTCTAATCTTCTGACACTGAAATTCTGCTGATTTTCCTATGAAATACAATTCTGTGAAATTTCTGGAATGTGGTGGGAAAAAAACAAACAAACATTGGAAATAAATGTAATTCCCCTGCTGCACCAGCTACGCACCTCCTACCCGGGTCCCTCCCCACACTTTGGGAACCACTGCCTTAACCATTTGTCTTACTGCACTTCACACATACTGTACACCCTCTGTCTCTGTCTGCCCACCTTGTTGTTTTGTGTATCGTAAGAATGTTTACTCTGTGGCTGCTGTTGTGTTTACTTCAACATAATATTGAAGTCATTTGCAATAGAAACAAACAAGCTTTGTAAAATCTTTTCTCCACCTCTCTCCCTCTGTCACTCTGCTCCTGCTCTGGTTTCTCTCTCTCTCTCTCTCTTTCTCTCTCTCTCTCTCTCTCCCTCCTTCTGTCCTCTGGTGCTCCCTCTCTGCACTTACAGGACTACACTCTGACCATGTACTTCCAGCAGGCTTGGCGAGACAAGCGGCTGTCCTACTCTGAGATGCCACTGAATCTGACCTTAGATAACCGAGTGGCGGACCAGCTCTGGGTCCCCGACACCTACTTCCTCAACGACAAGAAATCGTTTGTGCACGGCGTCACAGTGAAAAACAGAATGATTCGACTCCACCCTGACGGAACCGTACTGTACGGTCTAAGGTGAGATTTTAATCTGAACAGAAACGACACCGTCACCTCCTCAAAGCCAGTATGGACGTGTTGTATTTTAAACAAGTGAATAAAAACTACCATTACATGCTGCAGCAGCAGGGTCGTGGAAAATAACAGGCCGCACTAATGGCACTAATTTCTACTTCATATTGTCAAACACCTCCCACATGATCTTTTCCACATCTTTATTTTAGGACGTGAGCAGAAGAAGAAAACACAATAACACACTGTAACAGGAAACAACAGCTACAGTGAGTTCAGTCATTAATCACCTGGAACAGAACAGAATAAAGTGAACTTCTGGCAGTGAACTGTCTAACTGTTGTACTAATTGTTGTACTAATGCATCCATGTTCAGATTTAATTAGTAGGGCTGACAAAAACCCAAAGATGTGTTCATGGTGATACTCAATTGTGATTAATCCGATAGAAAGAAATATAGACCATGTTAACGCATTCAAACACCTGGGCAAAAGGACAAGACCCAAGGCCCATCCACCAGACTAGCCGTGAACTGATATACAGTCAATAAACCTCTTGTTATTTGAACACATTGTGGGAAAAGTTTTTTGTTCAACTGAAGTATGAGAGTTTAAAATACCATCTCAACACAAAGTGTTTATGCAGACTTGAGCTTCAGATCAGATTCCTGACTACTGTCAGACCAGCTTCATCGAGTCTAAGGCGGTAAATAAGACCACGACTGACACAGTTGTCAAACGGATCCCGAGGGACCGTAGACTGATTAATATTGTTGATGACCAAAGTTTTAAAAGCAATTCCTGTGAGTACTACTGCGAGTCACCGTCATATTGAAGAGTACGGACTAAAACCCACCAACGTCATAAAGTGAATTTTTGAGGGGTTTTTTTGATAAAAAATAGATTAAACTCCATGAATCACGATGAATCGTGATTAATCCACAGGGAACTTTGATGAATCAGATTAATAGTTTGAACCTTTTGACAGATAAAAATAAGCTTCTTTTTTTTGTCTAATTACATGCATTCTGTTACGATTGATGTCAGACTACAGAGTAGATCAGAGAATACTGGTGAAAGTCAGTTCTCCGTTACCACAGTTACAGGCCATCCCATAGTTTGCTTGGTGTGTTTCCAAGTTAACATGATGACAACACACTTCTCCCACCTCGCTGTTGTCTCATCAGTTCATTTTGCAAACAGGCCTCTGATGTCTAATCTCTATTTAAAAGGGTTATTAAAAACCATAACATCTTAATGACCATCGTAGCAGTGGAGCGGCAGCGTTGATGGTGAATGAAATTAAATCTGGAGAAAATGAGTCAATCGGTGCAACATTGTTTTACAAAACAACTGCCATGGTGTCGAGCATATTCTCTTTATTTCACAATTTAAATCTCGTTTCCCAAACTGACGTCACGGTGAAAGGGACCGTCTGTGGACAGAAGCTGCAGAGACGACTGCAGTTGTTTGATCACTGCAGAACTCGTGTGTTTATCACATCTTCAAAAATTAATCAGAGCCAAAAATTAACAACAGAACAGCAGGAGGCTCTGTGGATTTCAATACAAAGAGATTGAACATATTTGACTCGGGTCACTTGAGTTAAATGCAGTGTCGCTCCAACATTAAATGAAATATGCAAATGTAAAATCTGAAAATGCTTTAAACTGTTTTGATTAATGCTTTTAAATGCATCATGACAGAACATGTAACTCAGAGTTATGTCAAATTAAATCACTCCCATTTCTCTTGTAGTTAGAATGACCAGAAAAAAATGGGGCCGGGAATAGAACCCATAATTCAACATGTGACATGTAGATAGAGTATACTTTACAGTTTATTATGGCATAGTACTGAGACACAAGAAATGTAATGTCAATAAATAAAAGTGCAAGTGAAAACTAAACTAGACGTATTATAATGCGGCGGCACAGATAATAAAATTAAACATTTTAGTAAAACTTACAGTAATGTGAATGAATATATTATTTTTTAAAAGCAAATATACTTTTGGACTGTCAGATTGAACCTCGTTTTCACTGACGGCTGTGGCCATTAACTCCAGCTACTCCTTAAAAAAAAGTGTTTTGAATAAAGATGCAGTGTATTGTGATGAGGAATATTTGAAGCAACTGCTGTATTCACTATGTGAAGTCCTGACTCACAAAGTGATCTCCAGAAGGTTAGTCATCAATTTGTTTTTGGAAAATATTTGACTCCACTCTAAGCAGATATTACTTAAAAGAAAAGGAAGTAAAAACAAACAGAAATAAAATCCCATTCACTCACTATTTCTGACTGAAGGCAGACGAGAACAACAAACTATAACTGCATGTGGTTGACTCTAAAACTAGTCAGATAAATCAAATCGATTTGACTTATTTAGTTTTCTTTCCACACCATGGAGCTCCGAAACCATTTTCTCTCCACCTGTGACAATATATAAAAATGTAAATAGCTTTCTATACAAAACATTGAGTCAACGCATTTGACAATTATTCTGTGCGTACTCTGTTGCCACCATGGTCACAACAGTAACACTTTGTGGGATGGTATTTTGAAAAGAACATTCGCATTGAGCCTGTTGATTAGCGATGTAATTGGATGAAGGCCGTCCATAGATGCTGCCAACAGCCACGTCATACACAGTACAATACACAACGCTACTGTATTTGTCACCCAACACATTACAAGGAACAATTACTGTGGGTAAAAAGGCAGCCGCCTGGACTAATACACGTTCATTCACACACATCTGTGACTGACAGCCCGTGTGTGTTTTATTATTATTATTACTTTTTTTATACACAAATCATGAAAAGACAGGAGAACAGTGCAGTATAAATGCAGGTGAAATAAATGCAATTACAGTCTGTTGGACATTCAATAAAGCTGATACTACGTGAAATACACCTTCCACCTCTAGCAGGATGCCCAGGAAAGTATTGCATATTCTAGTACTTCTGAGACATGGGTGATTACCAAAACCAGGGTTTCAAGTATTTGTTTTCTGAAACTACTGAGTCGGTGAGTTTCGTTGATTGAATGTGAATTTTACTGAACCATTATATTTAATATTGGAAAGCAATATGCAACTCGCTGTGACTTCAGCCTCAGTCAGAAGAATTATTAAAATCACTTTTTAACAGATGGGTAAACTATTAGTTTTTTTCTTCTCTGTCTGTGACTGTTTTTTTAAACAAATGATCAAGTGATCTTTTCTAGTGTCCAGAGTATTGTTCTGCTTATTTATGAAGTTTGTGATAAGATACATAAAGGTATACATTAATTTGTAAAAAAGCGTAATTGGGAAATAATTTATATCATTTGTGGATTTATTTTATATTGTAAACGTTGGAGTAATACAGAACAAGGTCACATTTTCCTATTACCCTTTTTCACTTTGAACTAAGGGATGTTGAGTGTCTAAAAAAATCCACACCTGTATTTGAAACCTTTGACCGTGTTTTCTACCATCTGTCCAAACTGGGATGTAAACCAGTGACCCTCACCATTACTGCAGTTCTTCATCCCTGCTCCCTGTCACTGTTATTTTACAGATAATAAACAAACATTTCATCCCAAAAATCTTTTTTACTCCTAATAGACACCTGCCAAACTAGAACATCCTTTTCACCCAGTGCGTTTGTAAATCTTGGCCCCAGAGCCGGAGCAATAATACAGGAGTTCCTCTAGGTGCCATAGATCATCTCAGAGCCCAGAGTAGGCTGACATTTGGCAAAAACCTTTTTCTTAAAGCAGACCCTGAACTCATGACTTATTGAAATGTTAGCTTTAAGCGATGGAGCAGGAGGATCTTGGGATATGAAATACCGCCCGGTACAGGAAGAAATAACAAATGCAGACATTTACTTTCCCAGAAACGGTGCCTTTTTTGACCAACAGTCAGGTTATTAACTCACCCTGAATGCCAATGAGTGTTGGCAACACCGGAGGCTACTTGGCTCAGGTTTGAACCCAAATCAGAGTTTGCAAGCATGGCCTTGTGGACGCAACATATGGGACACAGTTAGTGTATTTGGCAGTGTCCCCGGGCAGAATCCAAGCAACTGTGAACTGTATTTAAGAGTGAGTGATGGATGCAGCTGCGCAATTGTTGTTGGCTTATGTAAAATGTGTAAAAAATATATTTAAAAGAAAGTCTTGACTACAAAAGTTAAGAGATGGACAGCAGCTAACCAACTCTCTCTCTCTCTCTCTCTCTCTGGCTTCACTTGTCCACATGCTAATAGCAAATCTATGTAGGTCAAAAAGTTCTGAGACAAATGTTTTCCATCTTTACCATGTTCAATTTCAATAATAAATACAAAAAGACCCCCGTATCTCAGGTGTCTCCAACAACTGTTTCAACAGGTTTCTTTGACACTAAAAAATTAATACATTTAAAACTTCGAAATTTGAACAAATGCCAAATCTCTGGTCCAAATATATATATATAGATATATTTTATTTATTTGTCCTAAAACCTTTTGACCTGCCCTTATTTGAGTGATTATGAGAAGAAGTTAAAGTAAAGGACCCATTCCCACACTATTAAAATGTATTTTCTACAGAGTGCCTGTCAGAGGCCTCTCCACTGTCGTTCCCATGACACAGGGATTAATAAGAAAATGCCAGGAAGTGAAGAGTGATGGACACTTTGATTACTGTTGACACAAGTATTTAATATTAGCATCGCTAAAACTCATCAGAGAGAAATTAGTTCCGATATAAAACTGAGGTAAAGGCAGATACATTTTAAACCAATAGGCTGGAGCAACCTTCATGGCTCACCACAGGAGGTTCGAACCCCTGTGGTGAGAAATATGAAAAAGAAGGTAAACGTTAAGACTCTTCCTTGTGAACTTCTGTGTTACTAATAATGTACTGCTGTGATCATTTCCTCTCCCTCTCTCTCATTTTTTCTTTAATTTGGTAGATGCATTCTCACCTAAATGTGTTGAAGTGAATCTGATTATAGATGATTTATCAATGGTTATAAAAAGGTCAGAAAAAATGCTTTTGTCTTCATTAGACAAAAAAGAGACAAAAATGTGGGTTTTTTTTTTTTTTCTGGTGTTAATTCTGTTTATTTTCTCATTCTCCATCAAATGAGGGTTAGTCCAGAAGACAGAAGGCGGCTTTTAACATATTGCTCTGATTGATAAAAAACTGATAAATAAATTGCTAACTGCTAAGTGCTATCTAAGTGCAGTCAAGGATAGATTAGGCTAGGCCTTAAAAGATTGGCACTACAGGAGCTGCTGGTCTGAACATAGACCAGCACAGAGAGGGAGAGAGAGGGGGGGAGAGAGGGAGAGAGAGAGAGAAAGAGAGAGAGTGAAAACAAGGCCGATTATCTCAAGACTGTATAACACAGGACTGGACTTGAGATGAGCCTCTTCTCTGGCGCAGATTTATCTGCGTTGTCAGGTGTTCCTTGACAGTCACCCACCATGCTGTGGTTGCTTTTGTGGTAATTCCCTCTGTGGAAGTCAAGACCGGAGCCAGGAAACAAATGGCAGCCTATTACTCACAGTCCAGTCCTTTTAC